CCCCCGCCCCCCGACCCCCCTCCCGGCACCTCGTCCTCCGCCTGCGCGGCCCCTTTTGGCGGCAGCGTTGGACGCGTCTCTCTTGGCCTTCTTCTGGCGACGCATCTCTTGTTCTCCGGCGATGATGGCGTCAATCTCATCCGGGAGAACGCCCTTCATGGCTAGGTCGTCGCGCTTCTTCTTCTCCTTGGCTCTAGCGATCGCCAACATTTCCTATTCGAGGAAGGTAGGTATACGGGAAAAAAATGACACGGAATTAGGGTGGTCAACGTATAAAAAAAATCGGCAGGACATAAAAACTACTACAGTGCAATGGAAGTAGGTGAGTGTGTCCTGCTTTGTTGATTGCCCCAAGAACGAGACACTCGCTGCTCCGATAAGAGTTCTGTGTAACTGCACGGGACGGGCCTTGACAGAAGAAAGAACGGAGGATTTCGGGTTAGGGTTAGGTTGTTGCATGGATAGAACTGCGAAGAGAGGTCATATGCTTTCACCTGTTCGCGCCGCCGCTCAATTTACCGTCCCACACCACAACGCCATGTTTGCCCCCCCCGGTTTCGTCGCGTGGCAACGACGTTGCAAAACAAGCCAATTCACTTCGTGAACTCGGCAACCAGGTTACCGTTTCTTTTTTTGTTACCTCTGCTTTTTTGGCGGCAACCATTATGGTGGTCGAGTAGATCATGTTGTGCGGGGTGGAGAACCCTCACTCCGCGCAAGGGGGATGATCGCACCACGTTGTTTAAAATGGTCAAGCACCCTCGAGGCAGTTACACAGTGCTTACAACTGTCTCTGGAAGTGAAAGCACCAGAAAATAAATTAATTCATACGCGGCTGTCATCCGTACGCAAGGAAGTAAGCACAAGATGCCGAACACCCTTAGCAGGATGCAGCGCACCCTTCATGCGACTCGCCGAATATCTCACGGCGCTTCGCGCTTGGTGATGTGAGAGCCTGGTCCGGTGAGAACCCGGCGTGCTCCGCCCCGGCTCTGTAGGGATGCGAGGTCAATGGTCCAACGACTCGGCATGCACGACTATGAGTACACCCCCACCACCATAACGCCTCGACTCTTGAACAGCTTCCAAGGGTCGAGCAACTACATAGCCGTATTGCAAAGGGGCCGGTCTATTTCCCTCGCAATCGCCGTGCTTGATATGGGGGGGTGGGGGGGAGGTTGCTGTGCCGAAGTGATGAGAGTATGGCGAGAGAAAGACAGCTGCTGGCTGTCCAACGTCGGACATCGTTTGCACACGAGTCGGTGTCTTCAGGACCCTCGAGTTACACGCGTGCACGGGAAGCAAAGAGAGCCAAGCATACGCAACAAGAACAAAACATTACAACATTTGACACGGCACACTTGCACGGTGCACGAAACCGCTATTACCTGTTCGTCGTCGGAGAATTCCTCCTCATCAGCTTCTTCGTCGTGGCAGTTGGAAGCGTCAGTCCCTTTGTCATGCAAGATCTTTTCTTTCTGCAACATCTGGGCGTTCTTGAGTGCGTACACGGTGGTCCCGGTCTGTACGGGGGGGTGGGTGGGTGGCGTCGCAGAAAAGAAGAAAGGCTAAGCGGCGGTCGAGCCCCCGCTACACGTGAAAAAGCGTGAGAAAATCGTGCACACACACGGTCCGAGAGCGATGCTCAAAATGAGCTGTTGGGGAAAACGAAGGACGACTAACAGAGCCTGAGGGACAAAATGAGGGTGAGAGATGGGCAGATCGATACAGGGACAAGAAACGGTAGGCAGAGATGCAGGCGATCGAGTATAGCAAACGATGCCCCGTTGCATACGGCGGAGTAGACAGCATGGTTGCAACATTTGGCGCAGGATAGTCCGCAACGCCCAATTCACCTCCTGTCAAGAAGGAAAAAAAGTATACCCGGCATCCTGGTTATAAAACAAAGGACGTCTGACCAAACGTGCTGTCGGTTCTACAGATGAAACCGAAAACAACGAGCGTCACAGTCGTAAACGAGACCAACAAAAATTATCTGCCCGTCCCGTGTGTGTGACCTCGGCTGACATACGTCAGAAACGACACCCGAAGATGTGTAGCTTGGCGCCAGAAAAAACGGGACCAACACACAACACACACGACAGACGACGAAATAAAACTGAAGTCATACTCCCTTTCCCTCCCTGGCAAAGTGGTAGGAGGGAAAGATTGGCCATCGGTGATCGGTGCTGAATGCCCCGTCCTAAACCCCCCCTACCTTCCAACGGGAGAACGGGTGAAGGTCGCGCGTCAACATGGCCTCCTGCGCGTCAGCGACCACCTTCCTGATCTCCTCCAGCTTCTGGTCGTTGTTGGGGTTGGGCTCCTTGGCACGGGCCCGTCGC